TATCTAGAAGGAATTATTTTATTTTTGAGCAACAGAAACATCTGTAACGAATAAATGCTAGATAGTTATGTTTCTTGTCAGATCATGAAACATTCCATGCACAGCAATGCAGTGTGTTCTGCATTAATGTGTAACAAACACAACTGCAGAAGTGTTCAAATTAAAACACCCCTTCACTGCAGAAGATAAAAAGATTTCACAATGCCATAGTTCATAATAATACTGAAAACCTCTGCACCCCTCCTACCCCTGCAGCCATCACACACTGGCTCTTTAACACATTCCCTTCAACTGTATGAATATTAAAGACTGCAGAAAGACACACTGAAGTAGACTGACTGTATCCATGACAGCTCCCTCCCTAAACTTCACCCATTTTTATTGCTCGAAACCCCTGTCTGTGCTTGCATTTGCATTACTGACAGTGAAATCCTAACGATTTGTACTATTTGATAGTAGGATGCACCGATGTCTCTTCATATGGTGTTCTCCAGTTAGTACATGTTTCAAATCAAATGTTTCAGCTTACAGCATACTGTAGGAGCATAAAAGCACCATGTGATGAGGTGGCCATCATAAAGTGTGTCAAGTGTGTGGGCCCTCGCTCAGTCCTCCACAGCAATAGTGTTAAATAAGGCTTGACATCCTTTAAATGCAGTGGTATTTGTTGGTCTACCAAATTAACTTATCTAGGCCTATGTCCTGAAAATAACAAAAACAAAAATGTATTTTATCCCTTTGCTGGACATTTTTGGTGGTCTGTTGATATGGTAGTTACCACTGAAAAATTTGAGAACCACCGCTCCACAAAGAGCAAACATCCTCTCCTGCTTGCTCACATATTGCATATTATAGTCAAATATTAACTGAGACTCAGGTAGTAATGGTAGAAATTTCTATATTATATCATATTTCTGTTCACAGAAACAGAAATTATACTTGAATCAATCCACCCACCTCCTCACTCTTGATGTTGATCTTTTTTTTTTTTGTTTTTTTTTATTTATTTTTTTATTAATACTTCCCAGATACAAACAAAAAGGCACCATACAAAATTCACATCCAAACCGAGTAAGAAAAAAAACAAAAAAAAACAAATTGCAGTTGTGAAGAAAAATGTAAACAAGAATACATTCACGAATGAACCATGGGGGTAAATTCTAAAGCTGTAATCAAAGGAACAAATTGGCCTCATTTAAAAAAGATACAAGAAACCCAGCTTCTCTTTTTTCAATCAGGTTCAATGAATCAACAAAAATTCTTAGGTCATTACTAAAGTACGTTATATTTGGTTTTACCTTAAAACATCGACATTTGTGAATAAAAAATTTTCCTAAGAATAATAAATTATTAATTCCAAATTCCTTCCTCTTATCTTCTCTTAATACACCAAATTTAATTTATTTTAGTGTTAGGGGGGCAAATTTAACTCCCCTGGACTGAAGCAATGAATGAAAATCAAACCAAAATTGTTGTACCAAACTACATGAAAAGAAAAGATGTTCCAAGTCTTCTTCCCCTGTGTCACAGAAAACACATTTACCTGTTTCGAATTTGAATTTTTGTTTTAGGAATTCATTGGTTGGATAAATATTATTCAAAATTTTAAATTGTATCTCCTTTACTTTAGGTGGAACTGGAAAGGAAAGATATTTAGTTCTGATTATTTTAATATCTTTCATTTCAAAGTTCCTTTTAAGAATATAATCTCTTTTAACTGGCTTGGGAAAGGAATCGTTTAGTAAGGAACATCTCAAAAATGTGTTATTGCACTTTGAATCACAAAATTCAACCCCTTCAATGCAAAGTTGTCTCAGTCCAGGAGAATTACTAGAGTACAACATATCCTGCCCAGCCATAGCTCTAATCTGTAATGGGATAGCTTTTATAACTTGATTATATTTTCTTTTGGTACACTGAATTTGAAATTTCTGACAGAAATCATAATGTTGTAAAATAAGTCCTTCATCATCCAGGAAGTGAGCTACAGCCCATATTCCTTTAGCGTACCATTCTTCGATGAAAATAGATTTTCTGTTAACCAATATGTACCTGTTATTCCACACTGGGCTATTATGAGGAGTAAAATTATGCTTAAAAATTAATTTCCAATAAAGGAGAACCTGTTGGTGAAAATTTTAAAGTTTCACTGGTAATTTGTTTAACTCAAAATCACATTTTAAGAAAAAGTTGATACCACCAATCTTATTGAAGATTAGATTGGGAATGTAATACCAAATAGAGTGACTATTATTTAAAAAGAGCTTCAGCCATTTGAGTTTCAAAACTCCATTCATAATGTCAAAATCTATAGCGTTTCCACCTCCCTCCTCGTATGGTTTAATTATGTCGTCATTCCCAATGTAATGACATTTATTCTTCCAAATGAAGTTAAAATGAATGCTATTGATTAATTTGATCATCCTGTTTGAAATGGGAAGAGAATATGCTGGGTAAATTAATTTAGAGAGACTATCTATTTTGGTCAATAGTATCCTACCAAAAATTGTTATGTCTCTTTGTAACCATCTATTTAAAGTACGTTTACATTTGTCAATATTATCACACACGTTTGCTTTGTCTGAAACTTGTTTGTCTCTTGATATGACTATCCCTACATATTTCACTCTTTCTTCACCTTTATATTATATAATGATTGCAGTGGATGATCCTTTAGAGCCAATAGCTCGCATTTGTTTAAATTCAGTTGAAGCCCTGAGGCTTTAGAAAAGTTAGTAAGAAAGTAAGTAAGTAGATTTGTAGTGCCAAAGGAATTTGATGTTCGTCTTTTAGAAAGAGGGTAGTGTCATCGGCAAGCTGACTAACAATGAATGATTTGCTCTCGACGTCAATTCCAGCAATATCACAATTTTTTATTAAAATGGCTAGCATCTCTGCAACCATTATAAACAACAAAGGTGAGTTGATGTTGGTCTATGTTGAGTTAACCACACCTCTGTAGAAGCCAGTGCACATCACACGTGTCCTAATACTGACCTCTGGTGGACAATTCATGCATTGCGTCTGTGCGCTTTGGATGTCTTTGTTATATGTCCCACTGCTGCCCCCGAGCGGCCAAAATATAATGCGTCCAAAAACAACTTAGCACAGAAACAGACCTTCAAAAACCCATCTGGGAGACACCGCCTGCAAGTAGACCACAGTCACATGCCCTCAGGTTGTTCTGATGGAAAAAAAACAAAACAAAACAAAAAACAAAAAACAAAAAAAACGATACAGGAGCAAACTAAAGTGAAGCAACTTTTACAAATCGTGATTTTAGCTAACGCCAGATCAGTTAGCATAGAGATCACATAGCCTAAACAACGTTATCCTGTATGAAGCTAATTAAGTTTATTTATATATTTTGCCTTTTTTTTTTTTTTAACTTAATCATTTATCGGCTGTATTATTTATCAAAAGGTAACGTATGCCTACTTAGTTTGCTAAAAAAAAAAAAAAAAAAAAAAAAAAAAAGATAGCCAACAAGAAGCACATGTGGTTGCAGCATCCACTCATAGACTGGACTGAGCTACTATACTGTCACTTAGCATAGACAGTAGTAAAGTTGCAGTAGTTTATTTAGTTATCTGATTGATTTTATTGGAACATTTTGCTTTCTGCAGGGATTTACGCTTACAGCAATGTGCACAGGTAAGCACAGGTATGGCTAAATGTGTTTTGTGTGTGTGTGTGTGTGTGTATAATTTGAAAACTAATGGAAAAAAGTTCAAAATGTATTTAAACAGCACATTTTTAGGACCCTGTGATCAATAGAAACATTCATGGTCCTCTTTAGGTGCTTGTAACTGTAATTTTATGTGTGGGAGACTTTCCTGGTGTAGTTCCAGCTAAATCAACTCTTTCTGATCAGATTATGTTAAAATAAAAATCAGATTAAAGTCTAACTTGAGAAACAGAGCTTCAGACAGAGCAGTGCCTTGATGATATCAGCTGCAAAGTACAAACACACATGAAAATAAATGTGTCTCTGTTACTTTAGTGCTTAAAGGTGCACTGTGTAACTTGCACTCCATCACTGCTTGTTTCCATGGGTATGGCACTGCTATGTCTGGTATGTTCCACAGTATGATATTAAACAGCTCTTCCTTACATTTATTTAATAGCAGGTGGATTTATAGCTCCAAAATGTCTAGAAAAACAGACATTCTGACTATGAGCGGGTTACCTCTCCTGTACTTTGGTTTAGTTTGGTCTCCATGGAGATAGAAAGGCTTAGTACCATACTGTGAACCAATCCAGACAAACCAATAATTTTTTCAAGGAGAAAAGCATTTGATGGACCCTCCACCAGAAAAGTTACACAATGCATCTTTAAATCAATATAGGTCTGCCCTACAAAACAATATGACACTTGAGGGTATAATAAGATTTGGTCAGAACTTCTGAGACTTCCTTGCAAATGCAGTACGCAGTACATTGTGACCCTTCTGTGTGGGTATGGTTCTTGGTCAGGATTAAGATTAGACCATGTTTTCAGTTGGTGATGTGATCAGTTGCAGGTACACCCTAAAGAATTGCACCCAGAGGCAGAAGAAAACCTACTCCAAACTCAACTGAAAGCACCCATGAAGCCAAAACAGCATCCCCCAACTGTGAGGTGAGCCTTAAGCAGCCCCCTGTTGAATTTAGGAGGGATACTGGCAAAAATATATTGATATATTTGTAAAACAATTGGATCATCTTTTTGCAACCCTTTAAAATGTGCTAATAATGTTCAGTTAATTCATTTAGTTTTGGAAAAAATTACACTGCAAGTTCCTGTTCTTTAAATGTTTTTTTATTAGCCCTTTTTGCAACTTTTGAATGTATTTCATGTATTTTAATTTGGGCACAATACACTACTCCATATGATAGATTTTTCTATATTATCAAAACAACAAATTCTGTATTAAAGTTGTCTTTACATTATATCGCCCACCTATTGTTCCCAAATTATAGATTTTAATTCAGTTAATGTCAATGACAAAACATAGGACTTTTAGTAAACACCTTTTATTGGATGATCATAGCAAAAACAGCACCTCAGGACAGCTGTGTGGTGTGGGCAGCCTCCTTAAGGGGTTTTACAGTTACACGCTCAGGGAAGACATGCACTACCTAACTGTAACAAGTGCTTAAGACTAGCTGACCCCAACGCTGCCACTGCTAAAATACATTCATTTCCTTCAATGTCCTCTTTAATGCACCATTTTGAATTTTAACTGTTCTTTATGTGAGAAGAACGGCATTTGCATAGATTTTTTATTTTTTTTTCAATGTGCCCAGTTTTCTCCACGCCATTTTTTCCCAATACACTCAGACAACACACATACAAAATAAATTCTTTGGTCCCTTTCAGGTCTTTGGTAGTGTTAGAATTTATTGCTTCATGAACAAAACAAGCTCTACTGGAAGTGGCTGGTATTACAACATCTGGGGTGAATTGTAAGTATAAAAACTAATAAGCAGACACGATGTGGGGACTCTTTAGGGGGGGCGCTCAATCTTCGATAACCTCGGAGGACTCGGAAACCACTTTGCCATCACGGGTCTCGATCATCTTAATGACGACGTTCTTCTTGCTCTGTGTGCTGTAGCCACTGCCGCTCCCGCTGCTGAATCCGCCGCCGTAGCCGCCGCCGTAGCCTGCCCCATAGCCCCCACTGGAGTAACCCCCGCTGGAAAACCCGGAGGAGTAGCCGCCGGAGTAGCTGCTCTTCATGGACTCCATTGGGAAACCACTGTAGCTTGCTGTAAAGGGAGATTGACAATGAGGTTAAAATGAACGTAAGATTTAGACCTGTCACGATAATTACTACAGTATATTATCATTCAATATATGAAAGCTGGAACAATAGTTTTTGGGGTCAGGATTTATCTTTGCATTAGTGGGACATTTTTAGTTATTTTTTGACTATATGATAACATTTAAGCTATAAAAGGTTGAATTAATAACTTGACATTAAAGATGCAAACTAAATACTAAATGTTTAATTCTGATGTTTATTGCGGCTCATGATTTTTTCACAATAAGGTAAGGTTTAGAATAGTTTTTGTGCTATAAAACTGCTTTAAGGTTTTGTGGCAGTGGCAGTGGCAAATTAATTGCAATATTATCGTTTATCATCTGTATATACTTCCGCAATATATAACACTTCAAAACTTGTTATCGTTACAGGCCTAGTAAGATTGATAAACGTTTCTGCTTATTAATTTTTTTATTAGGATCCCAATTAGATGTACCTGTTTTAATTTCATAAAGACGTGCTTTAAAAACGATATAAATAGTATCATATGAATTAATGAATAAACTTGATATTTTAAAATCTTAATTATGCTTATGTCTCAAAGTAGCCTATAAAGCAACTTCAGCTTAGTCCAGCTGACTTAATTTGACCTTTTCTGCTATAAATTAATTGGACAACTGCAGGATTACAGGAACATCCAACTATAACTGAAATATATTGCTTAATATTACAAATAAAAGGAATTATTGGTTGATTTGTATCCCTGTCACAATATTATGTGAACTAATAAAACCAAATGCATTTTGTAATGTATGTTGTTGAAATAAGTTGTATACTGTTATTTTATAGCTATTACAACACAAGAGAAAAGTAAAACGTAAAAAGTAAACAAAACGAAACGAAAAGTAAATGTTATTCATTTTAAAATACATGTTTTTAAGGCGTCTAAATATTCAGAAACATGATAGCAGCTATGGGTATTAGGTTTGATGTCTAAATAAACAAAATAAATATACCTTAAGTTACACATAGCATAGAAATCTACACATAACAACACACACATACTCCAAATATCTCCAAATTAACTAAAATCCAATAATAAAGTATACATACTGCTCTGTTGGGAGATGTTGATAGCCTTGATGCCGTTTGCCAGCCTGTCCTCCTCTCCTTCCAGAAGCTTCCTGTAGGTGGCGATCTCAATGTCCAAAGCCAATTTGACGTTCATCAGGTCCTGGTACTCTCTGATCTGTCGGGCCATGTCCTGCTTGGCTCTCTGCAGGGCCTCTTCCAAGTCCCTGATGCGAGCCTTGGCATCCTTCACTGCCAGCTCTCCGCGCTCCTCAGCCTCTGCGATCTGGGCCTCCATGTTGGCACGCTGGAAAAACATAGAATATTACAAGGTGAGACTTCTAAATCTACTGTATATTTTTAAGTACATAAAAAAGTCTTCTGTTCTGGGTGACTATTACTGCTTATCATTGAGTGCAATATTCAAAGTACTTTGAACTGGAGCCAAATGTAAAGTACCACTGTAACCCTTGATCTCGAGCTATAACATTGCATTATTGACACATACATTATTGTAGCAACATTTAAATCTACCTGGTAACACAGTATTAATATAAACAAACTCACTAATATAGTTGGATTACAGAAAATATAATAATGGAATTTAACCAGCATATAAAAACAATTCCGTAAATGTTGATATTAAATATATACTTGGTTTACAAATTGCTGTCATTTAATCACCAGTTGAATTATACAGATCAAACATATATTCTAAGAACCTCAAATACACTGTAGAATGGCATATATATATATAATATTTTGTTATAATTTTTTGTTATTGATTTGTTATATCAATCCCATATTTACATATAAGAGAGCCAATCCTTTTTTATTCAGTTTTTATTCAGTGCTACTTTTTTGACTGAAGCATTTTTAGCTACTAAATAGCAAAGTATAATAGCCAGATGTAATAACCACGTATTACAACAATATGTTATGATACACTCTAGTTTTAGTTACTACTTTTATATATTTGTACAGACAGCAGCCATACCTGTCCCTTCACAGCGTCAATCTCTGCGGTCAGTCTCTGGATCATACGGTTCATGTCTGCGATCTCTGTTTTGGTTGCTCTCAGGTCGTCTCCGTATCTGGTGGCGGATGTCTGCATCTCCTCATACTGAAATGTACCAAAGCAGAGGATTACTCCACCTGGCATGACCCTTGGTAAATATAAAGTTTTAATTGGATTAATAGAGTAGTTGGACATTACCTTGCTCTTGTACCATGTCTCGGCCTCTTGGCGGGTACGGTTAGCGATGTCCTCATACTGAGCCCTGACTTCGGCCACGATGGAGTCCATGTCCAGGTTACGGCTGTTGTCCATCTCCACAATGACGGAGGTGTCCTTGATCTGACTCTGAAGCTCACGCAGTTCCTTAATTGAAAAAAATATATATTAGAGAGGCGAAATATTTGACAAAGAAATGCAACTTGAAAGATCCACTATGTAACTTTTCTTAAAGAGTCTGCTTGTCTCTGTGGAGATGGGTATTACATTTTTGCATTGCAGTATTCTAATATAATATAGTATTATATATATATCTATCTGGAATGTGTTTGTTATTACATGCTTTACTTGATCAAAAATAATTTACAATGAGGGACATCGCCTCACCACAGACTTGACTTCAACCTTGGCATGGGAGCAAAGCTGCTTGTCTCCATGGAGATAGATACATTTTATGCCACACAGTGGGGTATTTTAGGCAAAGCAATAACATCTCCATGGAGACAAGCAGGTGGCTTTAGTAACATAGTTCCCCTTTAGTGATTGTGTTCTTGTCATTACCTCCTCATAGATGGACCTGAGGAAGTTGATCTCATCTGTCAGACTCTCGAGCTTGGCCTCCAGCTCCACCTTATTCATGTAGGCCTCATCAACATCCTGAAAACGACAAACACAACAGGTTGGTCAAAATCTCACATCTCACAAAATATTCATTTTCGTTTTGGTTAGTATTTAATTTCCTTACATCATGTCAAATCTTAAGTACTCAAAAATTTCAGCTTTCACCTGCCCCCTATCTCCTACCATACCTCTGTTCTTGTGATTATGAAAAAATTCAAACCCCAGATCATACATGTAGTGTTAAAAATGTTGTATAGCCATTTTTCAAAAACATGTACATGAAAATCTGCTGCTTGCTTTGGTGAAATGCCACTATGAGAAATCAGGGCTTATCAGTTCTGGAGTTTTTAATAAGAAGTCTAAGCACCTGTTTCTGTTATTATTTTGAGAAATATTGTGATTTACAATTTACAAAATATGAAATAATGATCTAAATATGTTATAATTTAATAATAAGTACCCAGAAAAACATAATTTTCATTAAAAACTCTGTTCAATTTGAAGTAAAAAGCTTTGTGTACCAACCTTTTTGATGAGGACAAAGTCGTTCTCACATTCTGTGCGCTTGTTGATTTCGTCTTCATACCTAAAACACAAAAATATATTCATATTCTTTAGTTTTGTCTTGAGGTAAAATATTCTTTCCTTTGTTTTGTACTATATCTGTGAACACTAGAGGGTGCAAGTCACTCATCAAAACTCCCTCCTGCAGGAAGCACACTTATAAAGATAGTGCTGACATTTTTGTGTAACACTGTGACTTGGGGCTATAGAAAATGCTGCTGGATCCAGAGTAGTATTATTAAAACTTCACCGCGCTATTATGCAACTGAAATTTCCTCACTTCAATAACATCTTTCAATATTTACGTGTTAGCATTTTTCCACAGGGTCTTGCACATGCTTTTCTAATGTTGTAATCCTCTGGAGCTAGACATGACGCAAACAGCTGGACAGATGTAGGGTGTAGTCCCCTCAGATATGACCTCACTTTGCTGTATAGCTAGTCCCAGAAGACCTAGATCTTTAGTATTATACACTACACAACTACAAAACAGGACATTTCTGAGTTTGTCTTCTCTTCTACTCACTTGTTCTTGAAGTCCTCCACCAGGCCTTGCATGTTGTGTAGGTCGGCCTCCAGTTTCATCTTGTCATTGCCCAGACTGTCGAGCTGTCTGCGCAGGTTGCTAATGTAGGCCTCGAACATGGCGTCGATGTTGGAGCGGGTGGTGGTCTGTCCCTGCAGCAGGTTCCATTTGGTCTCCAGCATTTTGTTCTGCTGTTCCAAGAAGCGCACCTAAAGAAGCAAAACAAGAAAATTATATTATGGATGTGCAATTAGTCCAATTTCAATCAAGAAAATGTCAATGAGAGGTCTATAGCCAATCCAAAGTTCACACTGTGGAGGACGAAACTGAAATTGATTTTCTTGTGTTCAATGGAAATGTTTAACTTAAATTCAGAAAGTTAATATAGACAAGATTATCTAGTTTTAATGTGACAAAAAGAAATAGAAAATTTGGATAGATCAATATTTCTTGATATTGTTCCACACTATGTAAAATAACTATACAGTAATGACACAGAGCTCTTTAATTTCCTGTTCTCATCAGTGTAATTTACCGTTCCATAACTTCTCGTTACTCATACTTATTGTTGTAGTATATATTTGGACCCCTGAATTGTGTTTCTTTGTTATCAGCCTCATTTGTTCCAAAGGAAGGCCTAGCGGGCGTGCATCCTGACAGGAGGCGTAGGGGTGAGGGGAAGACCAAATGAAGTGGAAAGAACCATTGATGGAGGAGTAGGAGTCCCCACACCAGTGCCTGCTTTCCTTCCTGTTTTTGTGCACGAGGGTTGCACAGATCCAAAGCTACTCTGTTTATCTGCTTATTAAAACTGTATAAGGTAAATCATCAACTCGGTGAACTAAAGCGTCACAGAGCTGGGAGAGTATCATTGGAAAGTTTAAATGGTGTTTATTGTAAGGGATAGCAAATGCAGATATGTGCTTGAGAGTGTGGACCTTGGTCTTGGTAGCATAGTTACTTAATAGTTCTGGTCATTGTTTAAACAGATTAGCATTGTGTTAAGATGAGGTGATAAGACAAGTGTTTTTAGGTAAACTACAGCAGAGCTGAGTGAGTTTAGAGGTAGAAGTCAGCTGGCTTTAATGTGAACCTGAAACCAACTGACCTTTTTAAATATTAACTTCACTTGTGCTTGGAAAGAACAGACGCACCTACAGCCTGTTGCTCAACCATGCAATATTTACAATTTGATGCTTTTTTAGAATTTCAAAAGGAAGTTTTGTGATAACTTTGCAGTGCTCATTTTGGACGAGACTATAGTCACTTAGCTGACAATGGCTCTAGTCCTGCCTGCACTGTCTCTGGGAGGGGTGAAGGCCACAAAGGCAGCCACACCCCAGCCATAGGGAGGGCCCAGTCCCAAGGTAACCCGTATCACAAGCTCTCCACTCCGCTGACACACCCTTTCTCTCACTCACTTTTCATGTTTTTTTCTTTGCCAAATGTCTGTTTCTCATCACCGTGGGAGGCCAGCCAAGAGATAGGGAGCCCAAATTTGCTGCGGTGCACTTTCATAACTCTTTTTGTCATGTGTATTTGTGGGAGGTGAAGGAACCATTAAGAGTGGGGTATAAATCAACTAGAGGATAAGCAAAGTTCACATGTGCCAAGCATATGGGGTATTTTCATTTAGTTTTTCAGTAACTTCAATCAAATATTACATAATAGTTTGTGCAAGCTAGGGTCGAACTTTGGAGTGATGATTTTCAATTCATAAGCAATACAAGACATTTCTATGCACTGAAAACTACTCTGAATGATAACAACAGCAGATTCTCTTAGTAGAATTAATGTTTCCTGTAAGCATATTTCTACATTAGTATAACATTATAATCTTACCTTGTCAATGAAGGAAGCAAAGCGGTTGTTAAGGCCCTTGATCTGTTCCTTCTCCTGGGTGCGGACAACCTGGATGTTGGGGTCGATCTCCAGGTTGAGGGGTGCCAGGAGGCTCTTGTTCACGGTTACCGCAGTGATAGGGGCCTGCCCCATACCCATACCACCACCCATACCACCACCCATGCCCATGCCCAGGCCACCACCACCACCCATGGCAGAGCCCAGGCCATAGACAGAGGAGCTGGAGATGTATCCACCACCCCCACTCATGCTGCCTGCCCCAAAGCCTCTCCCGCCACCACTGGAGTAGCTCATGGACATACTTTTGCGAGAAACTCCAGCCCCAGGAGCAGAATAGGAGAGACTGCTGAAGTTCCTCGGGGCAACAGAGGACCTCACGCTGTAGGAGGTGGTTGTCCTAGATTTGGTCGACATTGTTGCGCTGTTTTAGTCGTGGAAGAGGAGTTTGCAGGCAGGCAGGCAGGCTGGTCAGCAGAGGGGATAGGACCAGGATAGGAAGAGAAGCACAGCACAGAGGAGTTTTAAAGTGCCTGTAGAGGTGGGAGGGACTTTGCTCTGCTCCCATTGGCCGACAGAGGGAAGGGGAGGATGTAACTTTACACTTGTATGACACACTGGTCAGTCATTCAGACGCATTACCTGGTCGTTCTACTGGGCTCGCTGAAGTGTAAGAAATCTAGAAATGTGTTGCTGCTATAAACTGTTACATAACGTGATTGAAATCTTAGTTTGAGTTCAGGTTTTGAATAGAAAAGGCCAAACTAGAGGAAATTAGTTTTTGCAAATTGACTAGAGGAACAACAAAGAATTCCATGTTTTTTCCAAAGTGCAGATAGGGTGGGCGTGTTTGTGTCAGAGAGGAGATCTAAGTGGGGTGGATCAGAGATAAGAAGTTGAACTGTTCAAATCAATGCCGCTATGATTAGTATTGTAAATGTAGGCGTGTTGTGTTCTCAGTTTTAGGTGTGTGCTTAAGAAAACTTTCAAGAGCTTTTGCAGCTTTAACCTCTTTATATTGATTTTATATACATTACAGGCCTGTTACAGGGTTATGTAGGGGTTCTTACAAACTACACCTATTTTTCTACATTTATTAATTCACTGAAATTTGCTTGTTTGGCTTGCACACCTATTAACTTTTTAATTGTTGCAATTCTCTGACTAACCCTATAAGGTAAGTTTCGGTTTTTGGGCTTGCCAGGTAAGTCTTGCACATCATTTTATTATGGGCCGTGACAAAATGCATTGAGTAGGGTTGGGTGAAACAAATTTGCATCAATTCAAAGATTAGTGTTTGAAAAAAGGGTTAAGAGACAGGCTGACATGGTTGTAGGGCTAGAAATGCCTGGTTATCACAGCAAAACCCACACTTCTAGTGCTGATACTTTGCAGTTGATGTCATCAACGTTCCCTGGTGGTGTGATGCTAACTGTGGGCACAGCTCTGTTTGAGATTTTAATCTGAGCTTTACTTTAATTTAGTCTGACCAGTAAGAACTGACTTAGTTTGAACTACAACAGGTGAGCTGATTTTTGCTGTTTAACAAGTCCCTCTCAAATAGCATTACAGTCACAAGCTAAGTAGCAAACAGTTTTTCAGGTAGTCACGCTCACCTTTTTTTTAATTCAAAATAAAACCCCAAAACAGGACCATGAACATTTGTCAGCGTTCCAACTATCATGAAAATCGTAGAAAAGTCATGGAAATTGAAAATGTAATTTTCCAGGCCTGGAAAAATCATAGAATTTTGTAAATTCATTGAAAGTTTTGGAAAAGTCATGGAATTTTAGTATATTTTTCTTTTAGTATTAGCATTCTGTTAGCTCTCCATTAGGCTATTATAATTATTTCTGAATGTATACACCTTTTGTTTAAAAGAGACGACAATAAATGCACTGACAGTATTTTGAGTGGAAAGGGTTAACATTTCATATTTAGCCCTAAAAGTATGATCAATTCTATACAAGCAGGTGCTGTAAAGTCATGGAAAATTTACCATAGGTCATGAAAAAGTCATGGAAAAGTTTTGAAATTTTGTCGGTGAAAAAGAAAGTAATCCTTGGTTTGTATTGATCATAGGCTCTAGAAAATGTGCTGTTTAAATCAGTTTAGTTATTTTTCTTGAGTTTTCAGATGCTATTAAAACTTATTTGACAGTGTTTGCTAATGTGTGCATTGTGTTTCCATGATAGCTGCTGAAAATTATGCCCATACACATGCATAGAGAACACCCCCAACATGCTGTCACTGCAAAGTATCAATTGACACGTGTGAACCGGTAGTGTAAGCGAGCTGTCACTGTAAATGCACTGTAAAAAGAGGTGGCTTAGCTTGATCGAATTTATTAGGTGCACAGTATAAACAGCATGTGTGATACTATAAAAATATTGCATTAGATAGGCCTGCAGAGTTCTTGGGTAAGGGTTAGGGTTGGGGATGTGTTTCTTGTGACTCTTTGACTCAGCTTTTCGTTTTGCAATAGTAGGCCTGTAATAGCTGAACACATCCAGAATGATGAATTGTTTAGACCGTTGTTATAGCAATTAACAATTCAAAATAAAACCAAATATTATACCTACTGAATTAGGGCTGGGTATCATTAGGAAGCTGCCGATACGATACACACCTTGGTACGTAAGCCACAATACGATACATATCTCGATACAGTGCACTTTGGATTCAATATGATATATTACAAATCGATTCGATGCGGCTCATTAAAAAATAAAGGCTAAATCATGGCTGTGATGCTAAAAGTCTTTGTTAAACCACTTCTTATCCGAAGTCAATAAGAAAGAGTTTCCTTCCACTAAACAAGCAACAAAACTGTAGAGCTGTAACAAAATAATTTAGTAAAATATACCAAAAAAATACTCTTGGCGATATATCAATACAGCAGCCCACGATATCAGTACTGTATCATCACATTAAATGATACGATATATCAATATTGTGATATTTTTGCACACCACTATACTGAATGGTCCTCAAAATGGCACCATATAACAGGAAGCTGAAACTAGGGTTGTCAAAGTATCAAAAATCAGATACTAACTGATATTGAAACTAGTATCAAAACTTGTCACATTCACAGGACAGAAATGAACCTTTCTTGAATAGCATTAGAATGATCTTGAGTTGTATCGCAAGTGTAAGACCACATACATGACTAGTGTACACCCATGGACCACTATGTACCTGGACTGCACTAAAAGAAAATGAAAAAAGAAAAGAAAATACTACGATATAAAGAGAGGTTGAAATGTAAGCACCGTGACAACTCTAGCTGAAACCCATGAAAAGCTTGGTAGGTCTCAGTTGACTAAAAATGAATGGTGTCACTGTTCAATTGTGCCTTCCATCTACGTGAGCTTCAGCTTTTTGCCACCCAGCCAAATAAGAGTGAAAAAACTTGTGTGTGAACCAATACCGGGCCTGCTCTCCTCTCCTCCCCTCCATCTCCTACCATCATGAGTCATCAGCTTTGGTATTACCAGAATTAAACCTCTCCAAACATTCTTTAGCCTAACTGAGTCTCTACCGCATTGTATTTGAAGCACTAATCACATAAAAATGTAGCATCATTAGTAGAAAGTTAAACATCATTTGAATACACTACCAGTCAAACGCATCTACACACTTTTTCATTTTTGGTTTGTGTTTAATTTCATGATTTTTTACATTGAAGATTCCCACTGAAAGCAAAACTATGATTTAAGTAGTAAATAAATAAACAAGTAGTAAACAAATACACTAAAAAAAAAGCTTAAATTTGTTTTAGATTTTAAAAAATGGCCACCCTTTGCTTTGAACCCTGCTTTGCACTTTTGGCATTACTTGAGCGTGTCACAGATGTGAAGTGAAAATGATTTCAGGAGAATTTATCTAGAAACTGAAGGCTACAATAATAGTTATGATAGTTATAATACATTGTGACAGTGCCTTATTGGTATGACTTTGCCCACCAATCCAGCATTCTGAAGTTTGATATTCTGTAGAAATTCAATTTTGGCCACTTAACATCACACAGGGCAGTCAGCATAAATACCGGGCAACTGAGAGTTTGCAGCACTATCGTAAAAGCAAAGGGTGGCTACTATGAGGAAATAAAAAAATGAAATATAAAAAAATATTTAGTTAAGTTATTTCACTTTTTTCCACATAAGTATTTTGCCTCATATATTCAATGTCTTCCTTGAGTATGTAAAATATAGAAAGTAGAAAAAATTGAAGAAAAAACATTTGACTAGTAGTGTAGATACTTGATACCTACACATTTAATTACAGCAAATATAATAGCTCTTTTTTATTTTTTACTTCTTTTTATTTGTTGCTGCTGCTGCAAAACTGAAAGTGCATTCGATTGTGCAAATCCAAGCATGAATTATGAATCATGTCTCCACTGATCGCATGACTGTCAGACTTTTTAGTAATTTAATCAGGACTCTGAAGCACTAGAAGCTGAAAATAGCCTCACACATAAGACTTTTTGAACTGCATGCAACAAATAACATTCTTCGCCTATGTAATATTTATAGCCAGTTTAATTCAGCTTGTAATAGGCATGTATATGTGAATTTGTTGGCAGGGTCATGCATGTCTCATTATAGAGCATCAATTACACAAAGAAATTAAGGTTAAAACTAAACATTTAAAGGTGGAGGGTCGGCTAGCTGCTTGTTCAGGTGGAGATGTTATTGCTTTACCTGGAATGTTCCACAGTGGGGCTTTAAACAAACATTCCTCTCTTGCATTTGTTCAATTGCAGGCATTTTATAGCTCAAAAATACTTTGAAAAGCATAAATTCTTACCATGTGCAGGCTTAATTCTCCATAGAGCTGACCATTAACCTGTCTCCATTGTGATTTCCAAGTTTATTTGCATACTGTGGAATAATCAAGGCAAAACAGTAATATCTGCTTGGAGAAGTTGCACAATGCACCTTTAAAATTACTGATAAACGTGTATAATGATATACTTACAACACCTCGATTAAGTAACAGAAAGGTATCACAATTTTGTCTGTTTCATTTTAACTCAATCACATTTAAGGCTTTCAACTGGGCCTCACATGCTCCAAGTAATTATCACACTGTCATTAACAGATCTTCACTGACAAGATAAGAGTCATATTGATCTCAGTTAAATGGGATTAGCAAATTCCAAGGAAAAACAAATGCTCTGTGACCTTTATACCGACCTAAAAAGTAATCAGTTAGTTAAGGACTGTTCAAAAAGGACTGAATGATTTTAATAACTGATCTGCAAGCTATATATTACTACTACTACTGCTGCCACTGTAATATTACTACTATTACTACTAACATAGCAACATAAAACAGCTGTTTAGTTAGTTGTTTTACTAGTGTTGCATCAGTAGTTTGATATTAATGGGCTTTGATTAAACAGTACATTGGATTTCCCGACATGTGACTAATATTCCACTCACACCATATTGATTCTGCTAATGTAAACAAATG